GGGGGGGGGGGAGTAATAACGAAGTGGCCCCCGCTCTCGCCCGTTTGACAGGCGGCGGGTCGCATGACGGCCAACACGTGTGCGTACGCGCTAACGCCTTGCCCTTTGTGTGCCACACTGTTAATTAACCCCCACGCTGTCCGCATTGTTCCCGCTGATGTCTGCGCAGTGCAGTCGACGACTTGCATTTCACCCTCCGTCCTAGATAAGGCCATAGGTTACCGCCACCATGTGGCATCAATCCGGTCCGGTCTCCCGTTGCCAAGATATTCTAGAAAGGCATCGCAGTGCATGCGTTCACAAGCCCGTGCATGGGGAACACAAAGCTCCCTCGCAGCTCTGCAGGCTGACAGCCGCAGCTAAACCCACACAATCGACTGTCCTCCACGTTTAATAATATTATGTGTGTCATGCGAGGCAGCGCGTCTGTTTACGCGGCAAGACTGCCTGCTGCTGTTATCCATCATCAACACTGGCTCGTGCCACATGTGCCATAAGCATTATAATAACAGACCGTGTAGTCAGCCGGCAGTGTGTGTGTGTGTGTGTGTGTGTGTGTGTGTTCAGTTCACAGCTCGGTGTGTTACAGATGGAGTGTTTCATTGTCAAGGAGTATTTTGGTGAGTTTGATGGTGACTAGAAGCTGGCAAAAACGAGTGTCCCATCCTCCAAGGAAATCAGCATGAAGCTGTACACAGACACACACACACAGATAGATAGATAGATGGATGGATGGATGGATGGACGCTTCATTAATCCCAAAGGAAATTGCAGGTGCACAGTAGCTGAACACACATATTTAGACAGTAAAAAGACATTTAAATTAATATTCACCCGGGTGAGTATCTCAGCCTATTGTATATCACACTTCACTTCTACTCCTTCACTTCTACACCCCCCCCCCCCCCCCCCCCGCCCCTGCACACATCTCCTTTGAAGTCCACGCCCAGCCCCTGTAACAACGCCCCAATAAATTATTAAGAATGCTGCATTCCTGCTTCCAGCAGGAGTCTGACAGGAGCGGCCTGTATGGCACCAGACAAAGGAGCGGGGAGCGAGAGGGAAGTTGACTTCTGGAGGCTCCCCCCCCCCCGCGTATAAACACGTCCTCTCCTTGGCCGGCAATGCCAGTACCAGTCAGCGCGCCGAGAAGGCCCAGCACATCAGCCACGGTCTCGTCACCTTCCGATTACAAGCCCATCTCGCGCATGAAATCTCCCTTACATTCTTCTCCCAGATTGACGGCCTGTGACCAATTGGCCAGTAGGGGGAGTAGTGGTCATGGAACCAGACTTGTGAATAAAATGCTAGCTCCTAGAAAGGGTACTACTTTGTAATCTAAAGTGAGGACCTGCAGTAGAACATACAGATATATAAACAACTGTATAAAGAAAAATTACTAGGCAAAATTACAATAAAGAAAAGCAGTGTGCAAAGACATAAAGTAGAGTGTAAGCAAAGATCCTTTCCCTCTCGGTGTATTTTCCTTGAACTAGCAGAACAGTGCTGTGTGGCATAATGTGTTCTATGCAGGAACAGCTCCAGGCTCTCTCAGCCCTTTCTGCTGTAAAGACTTTTTCTCCAACTCCCAGATGCCCTATACCCGTGTCCTTTTGCGCCTCCCCCTCGACCCCCCCCCCACTGCCCCCATCCTCTCCGCTCCCGGTCCCAGCTGGATCCTCAAAGACATTCCGGTGCAGCTAATGACAAGGGGGACCTCGGGGACGGGCCTGCTGAGACCCCGCCCTCCCTCCATGGGCCCCCACCTCAGACTCTGGGAATGACACAGACGGGGGAGGCGGGCTCAGGGGGGTGCAGGGGGGGCACTCCAGGTGGTGGGGCCGCAGAGGGAATTGCAAGTCATGAATATATGAATTCCAATATAAGTGATGAGGGGGAATGAATTCAAATTGAATTATGTCGGCTAAGCTCCGTACTGCCGTCCCCAGCGCTGCGCCGGGTGTTTAGGTCTCGGAGAACTCCGTCTCGCTGATGCGCGGCGATAAGACCGGCACCGCGGCGGACGGTGGACCCTAGATTCCCGGAGGCCGGGGTTAAGCGGGAAAGCAGGCCAATGAGAGAGCCTGGGCGGGAGCTGGGGGGGGGGAGTCACCACTGCTGCCCCCGTAGGCAGAACAAAGAAGGACGACAAGCAGGTAAGGACATCTAGAGG